TATGATTCCTTTAACCTGGCCACCAAGTCAGCTCTTGGCTCACTGGATCCTCCCACAGTCAAGCAGATACCTTCTAAGAATCTTCATCCACATCTGGTTAGTCATTACATGCAGTGCCTGATGAAGCAAAACTATCGTTCTGCAACATACATTATACTATCAGCTTTTTAAAAAATTATTTTAAGTTCTTCAAGTAGGTCCATAAATCCTCCACATATCATTGTGAAACTTCTTTCTCTCTTACTGCAGGTGATTTTTGTTTATTATTTTACTTTTAAGATTATGAGGTTTTAGGAAGCAGTGGGGTTAAGCTGTTTAGGCACTCCACAGCCAATTTCTCTATGCCCATTGTTTTAAAAAAGGCCTCTCTTGAACTTTCTCTATGTTCCAGATTTTGTCCAGTGTTCCTACTTTCATTCCTTTCTAAAATTCTTCACAGAATTGCTCTCTCTCATTTTCTCCTTCATTTTTCTGACAATAATCTTGCAGTCAGGTTTCTGAATGGGACATTCAACTATGTCAACAATATCTTATATCTTAAATGATTCATCTAAGGTGAATCACTGATCATCTGTGCTTGTTCTTTCTAATCTTGTGGCAGCTTTTCATGCTTTGGATGACTACATTTTGTAATTCTACTTGAACTGTTTGTTGTTACTTTCATGGTTTCAATATTGCCTTTCAGGTTGCATGTTTTCCATCAGTTAGTATGATGTTACTTCTTTTCAGTAGATCAGAAGATATTGTCATTCCATTCACCGGGACAGCAACATCTTGTCGTTGGGTTTTCAGGCACCTAGTGCCAATTTTGTGGAACTGATTCCCTTTGATCCATCAATTAAAATTTGAGTTAATAAAATTTTTAAAAGAAACTAAAATGTTATTTGATGCCAGAAGGAGGACTGTCATTATTTCACATCAACTTAATTGTTTTGTACTTTATGGAAACTAGAGGAATCTGAACATTTGAAATGGGATATTTCAAGACCCTAACCCTAACCCTAATTATGTAAAACATATTTCTGTTATCTCTGGAAGTTTTGCAATTTCAAAATATCATCTGCAGTAGAAGTTAACTCAAGAGCATTAGCCTACGCTATCAAGCATAAAAATGTAATTTTTTTTTCAAAAGTCAGTAGATGTTTATGAGGTGTAATGCACATGTGTCTATTCCTTGTAAGTCAATGTGTCTATAAGCCTGACTGTAATAAAATTAGTATGTGATACTAACCAGTTAAAAAAATGCTATACACACATTCAGTAATTAGTTTACTGAATTAAATTTAGTTTTTCTTTCTTAAGACCATCGAATGTCTAGCCTGTCAAGACTATTCACCTGCAAAATTAATGTTTATCTCTCTTAAATACTATTATATAGAGGTACTTATTAATTAACTATATGTTGCTGATAAAGCTGATCCACAAGATGGATTTCCTTAATTCAGGTTGGTGTCAGAGGTCTGTGGGCTCTGATGAACTACTGCAGGGAGGAAAAGCTCAGAACTAACTACAGTATTCTAAAACCCAAATCATGGTTTCTCAAAGAGATTTACATGCCACAAACATCAATGGCAAATAAACAATAGTAATATAGACCCGGTTTCCTCTTTCAAATATCTTGGCATTGCATTCCAACCCTTTGGAAACTGACACAAATAAATATCGTTCTGATAAGCCCAACAACAGTCCTAAGGTCAAACTGGGGCTTCTTTCATACAAATTTGAAAAATAAATAAATAAATAAAATAAAGAAGGGAAGAAGATACTTGGTGCTAGATATTATATGGCTCTCAGGTATGTCCATATAATTTAGAAGCCCTTAGATATCATCTACTCTAAATTCTGATGAGTGCTATTCCAAAGTACATTGTGACATTTTGAATACAGCACTCTGTTAAAAACAGATTTTTCCACTGCACTCTAGGGTCTGGCTATGACAGCTCTATTTCTGGCTCATGCTTTATTTTTCCAGTGATTCCCATGATCTTTCTATATAATTTTTCTTCCTTCCCGAAAACCAGAATTTAGAATGATTGATGCCAGTGTGTCTTCTTATGTAAAACTCTGGTTATGGAATTATCAAGTAAGTCTCTTCTTCTTCTTCTTGAATTATCAAGGAAGGAATGTAAAGAGGTAACAGCACCATGTTCAATTTTTTGATGTGGAGCAATATGAAAATCTTGTACAAATAAATAAATGCTATGATTACCCTGCTTCTTTATCACTATGTTTAAGGCATTTAACAAAACCAAAATTGTGCGAGACAACTACAAGAATCAGTGCATATTAATACTAAAGATAACAATCGTATAAAATAATTACAATATTGATCAATATGCCCTCTTTCCCTGCTGACACTGCTCCTGCTAGTTTATATTCATAAGGAAGCTTTCTGTGACCCAGAAATTTTTAGAGATGGACTATCCAATTACTAAGCTTGAACTTTTTCCTTAAGCCACATGCTTCCCTATTCTAGACTTGAAATAGCACTGTGTCCTACTTCAGAAGATAGAAAATTGCAAGCCTTATGGATCATGTAATGCAATGTTTGACTAAAGAAAATGAATGTTTACACAGGAGATAATTACAATGCTGAATGGGAAAGCTGACTTCAGTTGCAATTCCTGACCTATTAAAAAAATTGAAACATAATGGGTAAAAACCCAGAGACAGATGATTAGGAAAGTATTTAGTACTACTATTTTCTTTTTTCTGTATTTTTCCTTACTTGTAAATGCAAAAACACTGCTTTTTTTTTTAATGAATTGTTTACACAGTACTGTATGTTCACGTTTGTTCCATTAAAATTACAAACAGAACACTCATGCTTCAGACAACATTAGCATGGTCTAGCCACAGCCAGGCCACCTAATTCTATGCATGGATGTTTGGAAAGAAGCTCTGCTAAGTTCAAACGTACTTAACATGGAACTGCAGGCTGAGTTAGATGGATTTTAGTGGTAGCGATTTAAGTACAAGCTTAACTCTCCCACTGAGTTTATTTGGACTTCAAACAGATTTACCTAGATGAGATTGGATCCAGTTATTTTTTTAACTATTGAAGATCTTACAGAAGCAAACTTGGGACCTGGATAGTGTCTTGATGATAGACTGACTCTCCAATGGTATTTTTACATGGGGTCTTTGTGGCAGTTTGAAATCAGCTCTGGACCAGCACATTCTCAAGATATTGGCAAAGTCTGGGAATTAATTTTCTTTATTGTTATTTATTAATTAGATTTATATAGCTTCCCAATTTGCAAGATCAATTCTGGGCAACTTACGATTTGAAGAAACATGAAAAGAAGGAAATAACAATACAATACAGTACAATACAATATAGTAGACACGGTCCTGATGGTCTACAAAGTGCACCCATAACTGCTCACACTGTTGCATTCTGGACTGCAGCTTCTACAAGGTTTTCAACCCCATGTACAGTGCATTGCAGCAGTCTAGACAGGAGGTGACTAGTACATGAGTAACCATTATGAATACTGCAATGCAGGGGGCTTGAACTAAATCTCTCTTCTGCAGCAACACCAACTGGAAACAGCTAGGGTGGAAGGAAGAGAACCAGTATAACACCATACCTCTCATTCCAAAACCCTGAAGCTGATCCGGAAGGATACCACAATCCGTGGTATCAAAAGCCACTAAGAGATCAAGACCAGCTATAATATATGTACTTCCTCTGTCCCAGTCCTACCAGAGATCATCTAAAAATTTGATCAATGTTGTATCAGTGCTGTTTCTCAGTCTGAACCCTGACTGGAAAGGGTCTAGATAATCCATTTCATCCTGGACTCACTCTAGCTGCAAGCCAACCATCTTCTCAACAAATTTCCCCAAAAAGGGAATATTGGAGACCAGATGAAAATTGTCCATAATTGTTGGATTCAAGGAAGGTTTCTTGAGAAGCAGACAGACCACAGCCTTTTTTAGAATGGTAAAGTACCATTCCCTCCCTGAAAAAAAGCATTTACTACTTCTTGGATCCAACTATATGTCACCTCCTGGGAGGCCTTAACCAACCCAGGGGGGTGTGAATTTAACATACTGGTGGCTGCACATATAGTCTTCAGGTCTCTGTCCAAATCCTTGGACTAGCAGGTTCAAATTTATCCCAGATAATTACATCAGATCGAGTTCCAGTTGTCTACAAGGGGCCTGCACAGAGTCCAACCTAGAATGAATCTGAGCAATTTTATCTGATAGACACTTAGTCTTCACAGCAGCCTTGTAGATGTTCCTCCAGTCCCTCCTTCCCTAGAATGGATTTGGCTATTGCCACAAACTAAGAAAGACCTTAAGAAAGGATCTGACCCATGTTTGATCACTCCTTGTTTTATTCCAGTGGCACTCTAGGAGTTTTTTCTACGGTTTCATTTTCTGGAACACCCCAGGGAACCAGGGAGCTCTCTGGGATCTACAAACAGAGCAAGGCCACCCAAGTGTAATTCAATCCAAGGCCATGGCAGCCCCCTTACTCCAGACAGCGACAAGGACTTCAGGCAAACCATGCATCAGAATGTTCAGAATAAGCCCAGTTATCATTAGTTCTGCTGCAGTGTATGCAAACTGCAGCAAAGCTATTTTTCCCCCTGAAGTGCTGCAGTTCTATAAAACCTCAATGTAATCCATTCCTGACTGGCAGGGACTCTTCTCATCCGGCACTGGCAGGGACTCTCTTCTGGCTTGTTGTGGTGTTTAAGCTCTCCCTTTTGAGGTAGGCAGCTCAAGTCATCTCCACTTTGGTTTTTAAGGGCTGGGGAATGGAAAAACTGGTGGTGCTAAAGAGCTCTGAGCTTTTGCAAGAAGGAAAATTGGTGTGTATGTGTGAAGAAGTATAAAAAAGTGAGAGTTTTAAGTACTGCCTACTTAAAGGAAGCAAAAGAAATAAGAGCCTTAATTGTTGCCTACACATAAGGAGTAAAATAAGATAGCAGCTTAAGCATTATCTACTCCTAAGAAGTTATAAAGTTCAGATTATACTGTACCTGTACAAATAGCCGTTCAAAGGCTAAGAAGTTGTCCCATTTGGCATTCTGAGGGTCTTTTAGAGTCTGTACAACAGCCAGTGCAATCTGCAAAATCCCACAATGACTTTCTAGAGCGTCAAATTTTTTTTTGAAGAGCTGGATATACGAGCCGAGCTGTTCTGGGGTGACTCTCCCTGTGGTGCAGGGGGAAACAAATATATCACAGTCATTCTCAAGAGTGTATGAGTAAAGCAAATGGGAAATGTCACCCATGGCCAGATATACTTAGGCAAATATTTTTCATGCAGCAAATAATATTTCTCATTTATTCCATATACAGTAAGTCATTTTTCTACATCATCATGACCCTCTTCTGACACTTTATAAAAGGATCATTCCTCAGTAATCATTGGATGGTTTTCAAGATGTAAATTAGCACACATCCCCCAAAGTCCCTTCCTTTTTATAATTATAATAAGCCGACGGAAGGAGGGAGGGAGAGAGGGAGGGAGGGAGGGAGGGAGGATACACACACTAATTCTATTGTACAGGCCAACAACAGAAAGCAGTATATCTGTGAGCTCATTACAAGCTTAAGTGATGATTCACAAGGACAACAGAACTATGAACTCTGTTAAAGAAACTGCTTTTGGTGCTCCAATATGAACAAAATAAATCCAAAGCCAAGTTACAGAGGAAATCACATATGCTTGATTTGTTTCCTGATATTTTATTGCCTTTTATTTTGCTTAAATATTATCCAAAATCTTAAAAAGTTCATTTTGTTCTGGCAGCCCAACTAGGAAAAGTTGATAAGATTGCAAGGAACAAAATGTCTCAGTTATTAAGGCTTACATATTTCTATTGACTGAATTAAAGACAAGGGTGTGCATTCTTCTACTAATTAATTTAGAGTTTATTTATAGTAAAAAATTTTCTAATCACAAGCAACCAATCTGCCTACAAATCATAAGGAAAACTTTGAAATGCTAATTTCATTCATGGGTTGCAAATCCATCTGATATGGGAACAAATAACTTCATGGAGGAGGAAGGATTAGTACCCAGAACTTTTTGGACCAACCTTTTTGGACCAATCTTGAATACAGTACAAACTTATTAAGTCCTTTGTTAAAGCCTTGTTTTAAAAAACAAAAACAAAAAACTATGACTACCTCTTGAGTATAGGGTCTTTTTCTGATATTTCTCTTCTTACCCATTCCTTGCCCAACCCTGTATACACTGGGCTTAGGAAATTGACTTGGCATTCCTTCATTAGTTCCTAATCAATCTATCTAGTACTACCTTTGCCATAAACTGGGTACTAATTTGTCTTTCCAGATCAAAACCTTTGCTTCTTGTATTGACTCACATGGTTTCTACTGAGAAAGATCTTGAATACTTTATTCGAGGAGCAGGTGGTAACCATGTCCAAGAAGGCCTTTGCATAGGCACATCTAGTGGCCCAGTTGTGTCCTTTCCTGGATGCCCTTCAGACAGTTACTCGTGCCCTGATCACCTCACAAATGGATAATGTAATATGCTATTCATGGGGCTACCCTTGAAGACCACTCGGAAGGTACAGCTGGTCCAGAATGCAGTGGTGTGGGCAGTGGTGTGCATGGTTCATTATGCACATGTGAACAACCACTTACTCTAGCAGTCTTCCAGGTACAATTCAAAGTACTGTTATCACCTATAAAGCCCTTCATGGCACAGGGCCAGTTTATTTGGGGACCACCTGTCTCCAGCTGTTTCTGTCTGTCAGATGACATTGGGCAGAGTGGGCATGCTTTGAGTCCCATTAATTAAGCAATGTTGCCTAGCAGGGCCCAGGAAGCATGCTTTCTGTGTCACAGCACCTGCCCTTTGGAATATCCCTCCAGAAATCTGGATGGCTCCCACCCTGATGATGTTCAGGAAGCTACTGAAGACCTGATTATTTTCCTAGGCCAGGTATAAGCTGAGAATGGAGCCCTGTTGAACTGGGGTTTGTTTATATGCCTGACTTAGGCCACGTATGGTTTGTGGGGGGGGGGGTTGGTATTGTTTTCGCTTTTTTAATTGTAAGCTGCTTAGAGTCAAGAGGGAGGCAGCCTCCAAACTGCTAGAATGAACAAGC